AGAGAGAGAGAGACAGACAGAGACAGACAGACAGACAGAAAGAGAGAGAGAGAAGTGTTTGTGTGTTTCACTGACGTCACCTCATGTTGTTTATTGATCACCAACATGTCAACAACATGTAAATCATCACATGTTCTGTGTTTCAGGAACAAGAGACTCTGTCGTTCATCAGAGAGAATCTGGAGAAGAGTGATCAGCTGACCAATGGCATGGTACACCCCCCCCCCCCCCACACACACACACACACACACATCATGATCTTGACATGGACGTGGTTTGATGAAGGTTTTCATGTCTGACAGTTTGAACCGATGTTTATCTAAAGTATGATGTTCTTTAATTTAAGTTTTAAAACATGTTCCAGGCCGGTGTGAGCGTCTTTATTCAGTTATTTTCTGTCGTTGTCGTCAGGTCTCCATCCTGTCGTCGTTCGAGAGCCGCCTGATGCAGCTGGAGAACTCCATAATCCCCGTCCACAAGCAGACGGAGAACCTGCAGCGGCTGCAGGAGAACGTGGACAAGACTCTGTCCTGCATGGATCACGTCATCAGTTACTATCACGTGGCCAAAGACACGGACAGGATCATCAGAGAGGGGTGAGACGTCCACTCTGCCGTCGTGTTCTCAGCGGTGATGTAAGAAACTGACGATTCTCTCTGTTCCAGACCGACGGGTCGACTCGACGAGTATCTCGCTTGCATCGCAAAGATCCAGAAAGCTGTGGATTACTTTCAGGACAACAATCCCGACAGTCCTGAACTCAACACAGTGGTACAGTAACTTCTGTGTTTACAAGTTAATGTTCGATAATTATGATCATTAACTAAAGAAATGAAAGATTCACTTTGTGTCTGTGATCTTGTTCAATCTGAAAAACCCTGGATCATGAAAGACAGTTTGATGAAGGATCAGAAGGTTGAGAGCAGTCAGATGTTTTCCCTCCCCTGCAGAAAGCTCGTTTTGATAAGGGTAAGGAGCTGCTGGAGGCCGAGTTCCGCAGCCTGCTGACCCGCTACAGCAAACCCGTCCCCCCCATCCTCATCCTGGACGCCATCAGCGTGGACGAGGAGCTGGAGGTGCAGGAGGACGTGGTGCTGGAACATCTGCCTGAGGCCGTGCTCCAGGACATCATCTGCATCGCCGGCTGGCTGGTGGAGTACGGACACAACCAGGGTGAGGAGGACTTTATCTGTCCTCACTTTTTATATGTGGTCTGTAGCTCCAGCTTCCTGATAGGAATCTACTCTGAATTTATAAAAATGAAACTAAACCTTCAATGAGAAACATTTTACAAAGGACTCGTCTAAAGCACCTCCCCCCTCCCTGTGCTGCTTCGTCTCCTCTTGCAGATTTCATGAACGTCTACTTCCAGATCAGGTCCAATCAGCTCGATCGATCCATCAAAGGCCTGAAGGATCATTTCCGCAAGAACAGCGCCTCCTCCGGGATCCTCTACTCCCCCGCCGTCCAGACCAAACGCAAGGACACGCCCACCAAAAAGGCTCCTAAGAGACCAGGTCAGGCGCCGATTCTCAGACTAACCCTCGATCTGTCCACCTCAGCCTGTGATTCTGATTAATGTAGGAGATGAAGACTCTCGACGTCTCCTCCACGCTCACAGTGTCGATCAGATTAACAAGTCTCTTCCACATTGATGATCCTGTTCACCGCCGCCTCACACTCAGCTCTGACTAATCCTTCATCCTCTTCCTCTCTGATAATCCCTGTGTCGTGATGACAGTCTACATCCCAGGTAAACACAAAGCTTCAGTGTGCGCCTCCTGCTTGCTTCTGTCCGTCCGATGACAGCGAGCGGTTCTGTTTCCTGTTAGCAGTGAGACGTAGGAGAGTCAAAGTGCAGAAGTTGATTTGTTCCCTGGACAAACGTAGTGTGTTCGTGTAGCAGCCGGTACTTTCATGATGTCGTGCACCGGTGGGATCAGCAGCGAGTTACAAATACTGAGCTGTTTGGATTTTTACAAATAAATCAGCTGCTGATATCATCAAATTATCTCTTTAGGCTCATTTCATCCGTAGCTCACAGATTCAGAGGAAACGGACAGAACTGAGCAGTAGGAAGACATTTTTCATTGCGTCAGCTTAGGACAGGAAGCTGTGGAGAGCAGAGGACGAAAACAAAATAACGACAAACTATTCTGTCTTTTCATTGTTTGCTATTTAAGTCTTAAAGCAGCAGGAGATTAATGAGTAACATGTGATGTTACTTTAATAATCTTGGTTCATCTCAGTGTTTTTTTTTTTTATTCCGACACGTTGAATGAATCATTATTTAATCTCGAGTGATGAAAACTTGCTGCTGAGCTTCTGCCGCTTCACCGCCATGAAACTGAAGCTTTTCACTCCTTGTGTGTGAGCGAGTTCTGCTGAGTTGATGTGTGTGGCAGGTTTGTGTGTCTGTGTGTGTCTGTTTGTGACTGTGTGTTCTATTATTAATGAAATGACACAAACACTCACAACAAAAAAGTTATGATGTTCCAGAGAGTAATAGAAAATAGTCCAGAGGTTTTAGACGTGAACCCGTCAGATACAATTTTAGCCTCGGACCAAATCCACTTTTCAGTACAAAATTCAGAGGCTGTGTTTCCTCGTCGGGATTTTGATTTAGTTTAAACTTTTTTTTTTATTCTTTTGAATTTCTTTCACCCCCCCTCATAAAAAAAGTCAGAATCACAACAGTCGAGCTGCTGACGTCACAACTGTAACTAAGAACATAAAAAAGTATTCCGCCCCCGAGTGTCTGAACAAAATGGAATCAGTGAATGCAGCTTTAAGTGTGCGACTCGTTCACTAACTCACTAACGGAGCTGGACGATGAATCGTGAACGTGAATGAACTTTGTGTTTCCACCATGTTGTAGTTTTATCTGTTGTATTCATGTTTGTGAAGTGAACTGTGGATTTGAACTGTTTTGGCTGTTTCATGTTTATAACTGATCTAACCTGTTTATTCTGCTCTTACGTCACCTGGTTACACTGTGTTGTAGTTCATGTGTCTCTGCGGCTCTGTCTATCACCTGGTGTCCCTGTTGTGGTGTTAGGCTGTGCCCCCCCCCCCCTCTGCCGGTGGAGGGATGTGGTGTCTTATGTTCCATCTCTCACTTCCGAGCTCTTCCTTCTCTTTCTTCTTCTTCTGTTTCCTGGCTGTCTGGACCTCGCTGCCTCCTCTTCCTCCTCCTCCTCCTCCTCCTCCTCCTCTGGACTCTGTCTCTGTTCATGGGAGCAGGGACCATTCGAAAGGCTCAGAACCTTCTGAAACAGTACTCACAGCATGGGCTGGATGGGAAAAAGGGGGGCTCTAACCTCACTCCTCTGGAAGGTAACGCACCTCGCTCTTCTCTTCGCTCTGTCCTCCTCCTCCTCCTCCTCCTCCTCTTTGACTGTTGTTTATTCAGAGCAACAGGAAAACTGAAAACAGCTTCTACTCACTGCAGGTGTTTAATGAAACTTAAATGATACACGTCCAGATGTTTCTCTGCAGGAGGTCACGTATTCATTCAAGTGTAAAAACAACACATTCATTTTAAAACTCTTCTCTTTGAGAAATGTCACGAGAGCTCATTTCTCAGTTCTGCACCAAATCAGTTGCTCGTTCATTAGTGAGACATTAGTTGTAAAAGTGTTGAAGATTCTCTGAGCAAACACTTTTCAAATTGTTCCTAAATGAAGTTTTAAAAACATCAGACGGTTCATTCAGCTCGTTTGTTCTCATGGTAACAGCAACACACACCTGTAGAAGTATCCCGTGAGAGGTTGCAAGGGCATTCTGGGAAATGTAGTAAGTAGATGCTGTGGTGAAGTAAAAGCTGTTTGTGTCAAAGCTGTTTTCTAACACACACTCACTAACTTCACACTTTTAGACACACACACACAACACAAAGGTCTGTGGGCGCTTCCCCCCCTCGCTGACTGTAGTGGGCTTGTCCTGCTTCCTTCCCTCCTCTGCCCCCTGGTGCTTGGTGGTGGTCGGTACAGTTGTACCAGGTTCAGGTTTGTCCCTCTGGTCTAGTCACGACCCCCCGTGGTTTGACTAGACCTGTCTCCCTGCTGCCCCACCCCCACCCACCAGGTTACGATCACGACCTGCGGGTCAAACATCACAGTGACGCTCTGACCGAGAAGCACGGGGCCGCCGCAGGTGAGTGACGGGAACACGCGGGGAAAGAGAAGGAACACGGCTGATAAGCCGGGTGTATTTTAGAATTAAGATCTCACCTGCAGCTTCAGCACATATTCTGTAGAGTCACAGCAGCACAGACACATAGTGAACACGTCAACATGTCTGACAGCAGCGTGTTTCCTGTCTGACTCCGTGTTTGTTCCTCTCAGGGAAAGACGACGTCCTGGACATCGAGATCGACTCGTACATCCACTGCATCAGCGCCTTCGTCAAGCTGGCGCAGAGCGAGTACGTGCTGCTGACGGAGATCATCCCCGAGCACCATCAGAAGAAGACGTTTGACTCCCTCATTCAGGTCAGAGATGAAGAAACACATCGAACATCTGACGAGAATAAAACTAGTTTTGAATCTAGACTTTTTCAAATGAAAGTTCTCAGAAATCATCATCAGACAGAGATCAAATGTTTTAAGATCAAAGTTAATATTTCACCACGTCTTTCTGCGTCCTTTGTCCACAGGAAGCTCTGGACAACCTGATGCTGGAGGGAGACAACATCGTGTCGGCGGCGCGCAGAGCCATCATGCGGCACGACTACTCAGCCGTCCTCACCATCTTCCCCATCCTGAGACACCTGAAGATGAACAAGTCTGAGTTCGATGCCACGCTGCAGGTCCTCATCAGCGACGCCTCGTTGTCTTCACAGCGTCCAGAGTCCGTGACGCATAATAATGAGAGTTTATGTATTTGTGTGTGTGTGTGTGAGCAGGGAACCGCAGCGAGCACCAAGAACAAACTGCCCACACTCATCACGTCCATGGAGACGATCGGAGCCAAAGCTCTGGAGGAGTTCGCCGACAGCATCAAGGCAAGACGTCAGAATTTAAGTCTCAATAATCAATAATCGATCAATCAGTTACTGACTGAATCCTGTCCAACCACAGAACGACCCTGATAAAGAATACAACATGCCCAAAGACGGGACCGTGCACGAGCTGACCAGCAACGTAAGCTCACTCTCTCACCTCAGTGTTGTGTGATGTTAACAAACTCGACGCTCGTCCAGAAGAATCCAGCCGCTTGTCCGTTTCTGGGGATCTGAGTGGTCTCCATGGTAACGGCTGACAGGGCCGGTTTTATGAGTAAGCCGAGGCTCAGTCACCCTGACCTCTCCTTCTCCCTCCCTCTCTGTCTCTCTCTCCCCCCCTCTCTCGCAGGCGATCCTGTTCCTGCAGCAGCTGCTCGACTTCCACGAGACGGCCGGAGCCATGTTGGCGTCACAAGGTACAAACAGTTAGCTGGAGTTAGCGCAACGCTCCTGCTGCTTTTTAAAATGATCAGGTGGAAACTACACGACATCACAAACTGGAACATTAGTGTCGCTAATTAACCTTCACTCAACACCTCTTGTGTTGTGTGTATATACTGTATATATATATATATGTATATATATATACTGTATATATATATATATATATATATATATATATATATATACAGTTTTATACAGTCCCAACTTTTCAATTCAGAGGAATGTTGACTCTTGTTCTAAACCATGAAAAGTTCAAGATCATTTTTGTGCGACAGGAGGAAGTGGAGACGTGTCGTCCATCTTTAAAAACAGTCCCACTATGACTGACCAGCTTCCTGGTTTCTGTTTGTGACTCTGATGTGTTTCCTCCTCCCCTGCTGCTCTTCCTCCTTCTCCCTCCTCCGGCCTCAGATCTCCGCTCTGTGACTTGTTTTCAGATTCTGTGCGTCAGCCGCAGTTAAACCTCAGAGAAACATTAATCATTGATTTGAATTGTTTCCTTTTCGTTTTCATATCTCTTCACATCTGTCACTCAGCAGCCGAGGTCTCTGGTTGATCGCAGCTTCACTTTTCTTCCTCTTTCATGGTCCGGCTCTCTCCTCCTCCTCTTCCTCGCTTCCTGGCTGATGACTGTTTGCTTCTCTGCACTAACAAATCTTCTCTAACCTTTTTGCACTTGTGCCTCTCTTCTCTTCTCTTCTCTTCTGCCTTGCCTCGGCCCTTTTAGTTCTGGGGGACACTTACAATATTCCTTTAGACCCCCGAGGTAAGCACCAGCCCGTGTGTAGGCCCCCCCCACCCTCAGTGTTCTGTTGTGACCATGTTCTTCATGAAATGCAGAAGACGCTGTGATGTGCATGTGCTGAGATTCGTCTGTTGAAATTAACACTGATCTTAAAAAGACGAGTGTTTGTGGAGAAGTAGAATTCATCTCACTGTCGATCCTAACAGAAAATAAATATAAGAATCAATGAAAGAGTAAAAGTTCTTTAAAGTTCTGACTGTGCTGAAAGCTTCTGTTTACTCTTTTATTCCAGAGACGAGCTCAGCGAGCAGCTACACCTCCGACTTCAACAAACGGCTCCTCAGCAGCTACATATGTACGTATCTGCACGTCTGAATTTACCGTGAGCTCCTCGTCTTTAACGTTTGTTCAGTGAACTGACGGACGACTCTTTCAGGTAAAGTTCTGGGAAACCTGCAGCTGAACTTGCTCAGTAAATCCAAAGTGTACGAGGACTCAGCGCTGAGCTCCATCTTCCTGCACAACAACTACAACTACATCCTCAAGTCTCTGGAGAAGTGAGTGGGACTTGCTCTGTTTGACCCTCAGACAGTCACGGAGATCTCAAAACCTGTTTCTCTCCTGTGAATGTGTTCAGGTCTGAGTTGATCCAGCTGGTGACTGTGACCCAGAAGAAAGCTGAGAGTTCGTACCGAGAGCTGATAGAGCAGCAGATCCAGATGTACCAGCGCAGGTAAACGCACACGTGTCAGAAACTCACTCACACATTCCTTGTGTCTGTAACGTCTGAGTTCTAACCAGACGCTCTTCACGCTGTCCTCAGCTGGCTGAAAGTCACAGAGCACCTGACCGACAGGAACATGCCCGTCTTCCAACCCGGCACCAAGGTCAGAACTTTATCATCCGTCCTTCCTAGAGAACATCAAACATTTCACCCGCTCTGATACAGACGTGTCAACTTCAACACGCCTGCATGATATTTGGCACCGAAGAAAAGTTTATAACTGTGTCAGCTCAGCGAGGCCCAGTGAGGGTCCAGACTCTGTTACAGCTGGAAGAGTTTGAATCTTTCAAAACATTTCAGCAGTTGTAGACAATATATTAAGTTGAGAATTTAAGAAGGGATCTAAAAACTGAGAACTCAATAACTTATTTTTCATAGTTTATATGTTTCCTCTCTGGGTCATGTTGCCCTTTGTCATGAATGTAACTGAAGTCTCGTCTTCCTGCAGCTGAAAGATAAAGAACGACAAGTAATCAAAGACAAATTCAAGGTGAGATCAGAATCTCTTTTGACACCACACATTCAAATATCTGTCCACACACCACAAGCTGTAAAAACCTTCTCTGCTGTGACACACCAGAGTGTGAACGTCTCTCGGCCTCTTTCAGGGTTTTAACGACGGGCTGGACGAGTTGTGTAAGACTCAGAAGGGTTGGGCCATTCCCGACAAGGAGCAGCGGGACTTCATCCGTCAGGCTCAGAGGAGAGTGGTGTCGGACACGTACAGAGCGTTTCTGCTGCGGTGAGAGAAACACAAGAAATACATCGGCTTATTTTCAGTTTCCAAGCATTAGTTTAGTTTCATATTTTACATACGACAGAAGTTCCACCAGAGATTCAAAGGTTTTCTCTGGAAACTTAATTCATTCAACTATTATTATTAATCACGTCAAAGGGAGTTTGACAAATTCCACATGTCTTCATAAAATGGCTGAAGCACATGAACAGTTTTTTCCTTCTTTGAGTCCAAAGCATCTAAATATTTATTTTACTGTGACAACATATAAAGAAACATCCATTCAGTCTGTAAAGATCTGATTTATCGTGACGTGTCGTCTTTTTGATCACTGACCTCTGTTGGTCGTGTTTCTTCCAGATGTGCCAACATTTCTTTCACCAAGAACCCTGAGAAGTATCACAAGTATCGCCCGGAGGAAGTGGAGGAGATGATCGAGAAGCTGTTCGACACGTCCGCCTGAGAAGCACTTTAAATAAACCCAGACTCGTTTTCCTCTTTCACCGTCGCCCTCGTCGTGTCCGATGATTTGAACGAAGAGGAATGAACGTGATGTATTTATGTAATTTAGCTGTTTAACATTTCAGACAAATAAAGGGAACTCTGAATTAACTGGAGGGTTTTGTTGATGACACTGACGCAGCACTGACCAGATCTCTAGACCCGTCGTTGTAAATAAATGAAATAACGACAGACCTGAACAGATTTCAAAGTCTGAGTTTCTGAACATTTGTTTGTGGTTTCAGCTCCAGATTGAAGTTTATATAACGGATAAGAGATTTTATTTTGTGTTCTGAGCCTCGGTGAGGAAACAACTCTTGAACAGAGAGTGAGCGAAGCAGTCGAACTCGTTACCGAGCGAGAAGCTGCAGTTTTCATTTCACTAACTCGACTGTTTGGATCCAGACCAACTGTTCTGAGGTCTTGTTTCCATGGTGATTAAAGGTATTGACTGTTTGTCCTGTTGCTCTGGAGACACGTTGAATGATTGAGTTCTTTGCTCTGAATGTTTTGTTCGATTGAGATGAAATGAATAAATTCTGGTCTCTGATGTTTCAGGTTCACTTTTGATTTTTAGTTTCTGCGTTGGAATCAATTCAATAGGAATTTTGACACGTTGTCGATGATAACTTCACATGTGACTGTGCAGCTGAGGTGAATCTGAAAGGTTTGTATGAACAGAGGAGCAGAGACTCGGTTCTCCACCAGGAGGAGCTCCTCCTCTCTTCACTGCGGCTCCTGCGCACAGACAGAGCCGCGCGTCTCCGTGCGTAAAACGTCTCCAGACGCACGAACACGGGACATCCAGAGAATCTGATGCAGCTTCATCTCTCTCTCTCTCTCTCTCTCTCTCTCTCTCTCTCTATTCTCTCTTTTCATTTGAATTCTCCTGCAGCCACAGAAATAATTATTCATATATAATAATAACTTAGACCAGCCTGCCCCCCAGTGTTCAGACTGAGCCACTGCAGCAGAGTAAGTCGTTCATATTTAATAATTCACTGTTTATATCAAGATTTTCTCCTGAATCTTGTTTGATCTTCATTTTTCTCTGAGAAGATTTTCTGCTTCAATAACTGAGCAGTTGTTTCCACTTTAAACCAGTGATGATAACCAGTAACTCCAAGAAACTAGTTGTAATAATCCACTTTGTCATTCTCCCTCCAGCCACTAGAGGCCCCCCTCACCTTCTAATGTCTCAGTCACCTGACACCACCCCACCCCCCACCACCTCACTTACCTGTTCCCGCCATAGGTTCCCGCTTCAGTCATTTCAGGTAAACATCAAACTCTGTGTGTGTGTGTGTGTGTGTGTGTGTGTGTGTGTGTGTGTGTGTGTGTGTGTGTGTGTGAGACAAACACGTGACAGATGATCTGACTGCGTCATTATTCTTTAATTCTCACATGAATATAATTATCTTGATTCACTGAAAACATTAATTAAGCGAAACGTTCACTTGTTCACAAAGATTCTTTTCCTGCAGCTTTAATTCTTTTTGTTTTGCTCTGGTTTTATTTCCTCGTCCATTGAACGTGTGTTTTCACCTGAAGTAGATTTTGTCTGTGTCTTTGTCGTCTCTCACTTCTGTTGTGTCGTATTTGTCCGTCTCTGAGTTTGTGTGAGACGTCTCCACCTCCGTCATTAACAGTCGTCTTTATATCAGATCAATTAAAAAGCTGATTGACAGTTTTTTTTTACAACCACGGCGGATTAACGTGATAAACGTCAAACTCTGACTTCAAGTGATGTCACCGGAGAAAGATGGCGGCGAAACGAAGGGAGGAAGTGGGTACGTGTCGAGCGTCTTCATATAAAGTCCATGGTTACCTTTATTTATAGCTGGACACAATGAGCTTCCTGTGTTTAGACAAGTCCCATCTGATAGGACTCACTTGTCACTCGCCCCGGTGTTTGATTCCCTGTGACACCTGCAGAGCGGCAGCTGAGTAGGAGCAGGGTCACTGAGCAGTGTTTGAACAGAGGACAGATGGCGAGCAGACAGGAGGACGAGTGTCCAGCAGAGTTTACCTGCTCTTTAATGTCCTCAGCCGTCTCCTCTCTAACAGCTCTGTGGACGTGTGAGGCTCCATTACACTTTAATCAAAACCTGCTCCGGCTTCTTAACATCGTATCATCATCCTAACTGTTTGTACAGTCGCTGTCCTCCGCAGTGTCAGCTCGCTGCTCGCTCTCTCACTCTGCCCCCTCTGTTGTTGTCAGGCAGCGGGAGACGTCTTCAAAGAAACGCTTCACATCTACATCTGCGTCCAGACTCTCAGAACTCAGCCAGGGGCGAGCGCAGGGCCACAAGAGCCGAGCGACACGGGGCCACGCGGGGCGACCGACCGACACTGTTCCAGGAAACACAGCGAGGACCGAGGAGGAGCAGGCAGGTGGCTGCTGTGGAAACTTTAACCCTGAATGTGTGGTCAGATACTTTTCCCTTCCTGTCCATCATCTCACACTGGAATCAAGCCTGATGCAAAATGTGCTGGTGAGAAGTCGGTGGGGCCGTTTTTAAAATTGTGAATTATCCAGATGCTGGAAAACGTCACGTCCACACTGATGTTTTAGTCACGAAGAAAAGACGAAACGTTTGCGACACCAACGTTGGCCAGAATCTCGTCGCACACTTCATGCACTGGTCGCACAATCAAAAATAACTCCGAGCACCAAAACAACACAAATCTGTTTCGTGATGGAATAAGAATATTAGGATTTAGTATAAAATTGAATTTGAGTAAGACTGAAATTTAAATAAAGTCTTTTTTAAGCAGCTCCTCGTTTAAAAGCTTTAAATGTTTCTGAAATCAGGACAGAACCTCGTCAGACCTCGTACATTCATCACAGGTTTTATATCTCCACAGAAACACTGACACAACAACTTCAACTCACTGTGTGTGTGTGTGTGTGTGTGTGTGTGTGTGTGTGTGTGTGTGTGTGTGTGTGTGTGTGTGTGTGTGTGTGTGTGTGTCCCAAAATAAAACTCTTCCTCCTCACAGAGAACACAGAATATTTAAAACACACTAAATGACACTAATCCTGAAAGAGCAGCAGCTTTCAGTCACTAATCACTGATTCACTCAGAGAAACCAAACTGTTTTTCTTTTTTTCCTCATAAAACTATAAAATATTCTCTCACATCACGACCATGTACGGAAAAGTGATAAAAACCAAAGTCCACTTTTATTTCGTCAAATTCTTCAGACGAAAAAATAAATAAGTTGTCATCTCGTCTGATTTATATTGACGAACAACAGCCGCTGACACTTCATCACCATACACATACTTCTTGTGATCTGAGTTCAGGTCGGGGCCTTTGTGAGGGGCCCGGGGCCGACTGGCCGAGGTCCACGGTCGTGGCCGGAGCGCAGGGTGCGTCCCTGGGGCCTGGAATGCTCGGGGACCGTGGGATGACGGGTGTTTTGGATTAAGAGGAGGGAGCAAAAGGGTCACGAGGGTTTTCTGGCCCTGCGGGGGGACAGGGGGGTGCATTCCCGCTGCGAGCGCTTGTTGTTCCCACTGTACAGGGAGGAGATGGAGGCGTTGGTGGGGGCCTGGTGCTGCGGCAGAGCACGGCGGGGATACAGCGGACCCCCCCTGAGCAGCAGGACGTCCCGCACGGCGCCGCGGAAAGGCTTACTGACGAAGCAGTAGAGGAAGAAGTTGACGGCCGTGTTGAGCATGGCCAGCATGTTGGACAGGTCGTAGGCCAAGTGCACGCGCCAGTCTCTGTGGACAGAGGACACGTACAGGTGGTAGATGACCACGGCCGTCCTGGGCGCCCACAGCACAGAGAACACGGAGGTGATGGCCAGCAGCATGGCCGTGGTTTTCCCAAGTCGCCCCGGGGGCGCCGACTTCGGTCCACTCTCCTCGTGGCAGCGCTGCTGCCTCTGCCTCACCCTCAGCGTCTGGATTATCAACGAGTTCAGCACCAAGAAGATGCTGCAGGGCAGGAAGTAGATGATGGTCACGTGTGTCCATATGAGGACGGTGTCCCGCGCCGTGGGCGGGTGGCTGTTCCTCCACATGTCTGACCACCAGAAGAAGGGCACGCCTGACGCCAGCGATAACGCCAGGACCACCGCGATGATCTTCCTGGCTCGGGCCGGGTAGCTGATCTGGCGGTGGAGGAGGGGGTGGCACAGCGCCACATAGCGGTCCACGGTGAGGGGCACGGTGGACCAGATGGAGGCGTGGTTGGCAGCGAACTCTGCGGCGCTGACGGAGTGCAGCAGGAGTGAGGGGACATCACGGTGAAAGACCGCCGTCTCCAGCAGGAAGCCGACGAAGATGATGAAGAGTTGGGAGAGAATGTCTGAGCCCGTCACCGCCAGGAGGTAATAATACAGAGCTTTCTTGGTGCGGGACGCCAGCCGGGACAAGGCCACCGCCGTGAGGACGTTCACTGAAAGAGACAAACATCAGATCATCTCAGGAGAACTTTGAACTTTCTTTTACTAACTAATTAAAAGTTATAGATTTCATGCGTCCGTCCAACATCTGAGTCTTTAAGCGTGTTGACACGTTGTCGATGCATTGAGGACAGATTGTGATGCGATTGGTCGATTTTACATCGAAAATGAATAAACCACGTGTAATCAGCCAGTAAAGACAGGAAGTCGTTGTCTCCCGTTTATTTGACCAGTTTCAAACGTGACGTCCAGCGGCGGGGACTCATCACGACGACGGATTCTCCAAAATAACAACTGATCTATTTGACTCTGCAGATTTTACAGGATCTGTTTTGTTCTCTTATTATCTCTAATTAATATTTCCACTGTGGTTATGTAGAAAACAGTCCTCGGACCTTCAGCGGTCGACTGTGGCCTCCGACCTTTCACATTCATTTCCCTGAGAGGATAATTACGAGACCCTGAGGTCACGTGGACGCTCCGTCGACACGTCCTCTCGCCTTGATCGCCACTCTCCTCCAGATTCCCGCTGAATCAATATTCATCGACCTGCAGACGAAGCTCAGTAATGAGAACAACGCTGGTGTAAACACATTCCATCAAAGTGGCAGTTATTTCCACTTCCTGGATTATTGAGGCGATAAATTCTGCTGCGGAGAGATTCCAGGGACGGTCGAGCTCATAAACCCAAACGTATGGATTGTTAGATGATTCGATTATTGCAGCCTGTGAACAGAGCTGGTGGACTCTGTATTATCTGAATGGGCCACAGAGCAGCAGTGAAGGAGCATTGATTTCTTCTGTTTTGACGTCAAAGCAGAGATTCAACGAGTTCTCAGGTTACGCATCGACTGTGGGTCTGAGCGGCAGCAGCTGATCAAACGACGCAGCCAATCGTCTCGAAGAGTCGGTTCGTCCTGCGGAAACAAAAGTTGAGGTCAGTTTAAACTTCGTACCTGGGACCCCCACACACAGCAGGACGCTGTAGTAGATGACCGGGACGAAGCCCAACACACACTTGGACTTCTGCAGCTCCTCGGGTCTCAGGCCCGGCTCCTGGGGGCCGGACGCCGTCACATTGGGCCAGTCGATCATGACCCTGGTGCTCCCCCTGGAGAACGAGGCAGAGACAGAGGAGCGGTTCAAAGTCGGAGCGGAGAAACACCAGAAAACTAATAACGTCAACGTCCGACTGTGGGTTTAAAGGATGAGTCCGAAGATGTTCTATAGTTTTCTTACTGTCAACGATCCCAAGAGACTGAGTCTGTGGGAAAGTACAGAGGGTTGGATTTAAAGGAATGAAAGGAAAACTGATTCAGTGTAAAGTTAACGTCTAACACATGTTTTTGTGTTTTTTTAGTTAGAAACATATTTTAAAATGTGCGTTTTTAATCTTTTCTCAGTTT